GTACCTCCTTCAGAGGAGTCATAGGAGTCCTGGTGGCCTCCCTCACTAGTCTCATAGAGACTCTTCACTGACCTCAGATGATGCATTTACTGACCGTGGGACTTCTAGTGCCAATAAAGGGGATGAATAATAAAGTAATCTTATGTTCTACATTTTCTGTTTCTTCAATAATAATGACATTTCTTTCTAGAAATCTCTTTTCACTTTGACATAAAAGAGCCTTTTTGGTAAATTCCTGTCAAAAAGCTAAATGAAACTGTTCATGACTCTGAGCTGAAAAGCAAAACTTCCAGGTGTGGTGAATACTTTCTTCTGTGACCAGAAAGTGAGTGAAGGACAAAGGAGGACACGAATCAAAGGGAGGAGAAGGAAACAACACTCCCAGGAGGAGACAGGCATCTTTGTCTCCACCTCCATCCCTCCATCCATTCTCTGCCTCAGTCCTCCAGGAAATCAGCCACCGATCTGACGGAGGAATAATGATGATGGAGAGGATGGATGGATGACGGAGAGCAGGACCTCCTTCACCTCCACTCCTCTGTTCCTCTTTGTTATTCCCTCTGAATTAATGGGATTAGTTTCTGCACAGAAACGCTCACTGGAGATCCGACTGTCATTGTCTCACTCCTCCTTTCATTCCTACACTCATGTATGTCACAATTAAACACTTTCTGCATGAATGAAGCCAAGGATGAACCGATGCATGAGGAGAGAGGAGGAGGAGAGGAGGAGGAGGAGGAGGAGAACTGGAGTGAAATGAAGAATGAAATGATCAACGGAAAACACAGAGAATGAAGAAGAGACAGAAGAGAAGGAGGCAGAAAGAGAAGGGATGACGATGAGAAGGAAGAGAGGAGGCAAAATATGAGGAGAAAACAGGGAGGAGAAGGAAGGATGGAGCAAAGAGAACAAAGATGGAAATAAGAAGATTAGCAGGAGAAGAGAGGAGAAGTAGAGGAGGAAAGGGAGGGAATGAAAGAAAAGGAGAAAGGAAGACGACGTGATGTAGAGAGAGGACGAAAACATTAAAGGAGACAAGAAGGTAGAAGAAAGAGGAGGAGGGAGAAAGAAAACTGAGAGAAGAAGAAGAAGATAAGGAGGAGAATAGGAGCAGACCGAGAGGAGAAAGAACATCAGGATGAAAAAAGGGAAGGAGATGAGGAGATGAAGGATGAAAAACACGATGCTGAAGGAAGAAACAGAGCAGCGAGAATAACGACAGAGGAAGAATAATAAAAGGAGGAACGCAAAACACACGTAGAAGAAGAAAAACAGAGCAGAGAGAAGTTCTGAAGAATGAGGACTAATGTTCACGGCTATTAGATCCACAGGTACTTTAAAGAACCATTTCTTCAAACAGTGTTTATATATTATACGTAAAAGCATCAAAATGGTTCCTTCAGGCAACATTAACAACAACAGGTTCTCCAAGGAACCACTGTCCAGGTAGTTGTGTGTGGAACCAAGGATTCAAGATTCAAGGCCTGTATTGGTCACAGACACAGGTATACATGGTACAACGTGGAGTATAATGCCTCGTGCACCTGTTCCTGGATCCACCTGGTTCTAGAGTGAGACGCAATCAGCAACTAAAGAACCTGTTAGTCTGGAGGAAGGTTCTTCATGTGGTTCCTTGAAACATCTTTATTGGAGTTATTTGGTTTGGTGAACTTAGAGCCGAACGTTTTCACTCTGGATCAGGGATCTCCAGCTCCGGTCCACGTGAGCTACTGTCCAGCAGGTTTTAGATGTTTAGTTCAGCACACCTGACTCACATGAATGGATCTCCAGCAGCTCGTTGTCAAGTTCTACACAAGTCTGTTAGTGATCCATTCATGTGAGTCGGGTGTGCTGCAGTAACGTCTAAAACCTGCAGGACAGTAGCTCAGCAGGACCGGCGTTGGAGATCCCTGCTCTGGATGAATCATCTGGTAACGTGTTGTTCTGTCTGTCCAAGAACCCAAAACACTAAATGTGTTCCAGTGGAAGAACCCAGATTCTTACATTT